ACTGCTAAAAACAAATGCTGTGTTTCATCGTTTCATACATTTTGCTAACCAACGGTGCCCCGTCGGATGAAGGAGGCATATACATAAGGCCATTACATGGAAATCATACATTACTTAAACATCAGAAGCAAGAATCGAAAACGTATATCACGCGTTGTGTAGATCAATTATAAACATAAATAATACATAAATGACGGGTTTAATAATGCGCACCGTATAACTTGAAGAAAATACCTGAGGATTTCTGCATGGATGCCAAGCACAGAGCCTTGCTGGTGCAACACAAGCCGTTCTTAATCAGGAATATCGTTTGGTGGCCGGAGCTATCATCTTTGCTGAGGTACCAGGGACTTCTGGCTGATTCTATGATACAGGATATCGAGGTGAGTGGGTTTTGGTGGATGTTAGTTAATTAGTTGAGCTACCATTATTGCACTCCGAACATGTCCACAGGTGCTCAGATCTTCCTCTCAGAATTACCTCCTGCGTCCGGTGGTTAATAGTACCAGTTCTATGTTGATTAACAGGTCCTCTGATGTGTTTGGTGTGCGTCTTGTTTTTTGCTATGCCGATCTCAACTGAAGCTGCACCAGGTTATACCTCGGTCTCTCTTCACAGAACTGCTAACCGCCTGCCGAAAGAGCATCACATAAAGCACGCACTCTGTGGCTGCAGTGACGATCGACGGGGGTTTCCGTACAAACAACACTTGTAATCTGAACGACATGCCCGGGAAACAAACCGACGACCCTTCATACCATGAGGCAAATGGCTTGACCACATCGCCATGGAGACCTGAAAGCTTACACATTTATAAGGAGACTGGGCTTCTTACCGAGCGACCCCACCTCTTCCCTAATGTTAGCGCCCCGGCCTCGAACTACAGGAGAAGTCATCCGGTGAGAAAAATGGGTTCGCGAGGCCTCAGAATAAAGGGGCTTTGACTTGCAAGGCTCAGCGATCCAGCAGTGGATAAGAGCGTGCACAAGGAAATATTAAGAGGCAACGGCGACCCGGTCACCCACCGGCTGGTCGGTAGAAGACTTCGTGGTCAGTCGGGACATTATTTGTGTCTGTCTCCATTGATCACACCAAAACTGCACGAGTCTTTTTCATGGCTACTTGGTGGCGATCAATGCTAAACCATTTTATATGGCGCACATAACCTAGCCACAATTATAAGCTAAAGCTCCCTCCTTAGGGGATGCTAGTAGAGAGTGACGTTTTTAAGCAAAGCAAGGGAACGGAACAATAAGAAGAGAAGTAGGACGGAGCCTTATAGTAAACCATCGCAAGCGTTGGACAGATGGGCTATGTGAGGCTGTGAACAAAAGCATCAACGTCGATAGACACTAAGGCTCGTACCAGATACTTCTTGATGCAGTGTAAGACAGGGCCTGAGTGACCAACTGGTGACCATCGAAAAATAACGGGCTTTTTTCCCCTGCGTTCGTTCATTCTTGATTTGATTTGATTCAAGAACCAACATCTCAGCACTCGGGGCATTCCCATAATTGCTCCGTCTCCATCTTCAGCAGCCAGAGAAAAGTTCTGATACTAATGGTGCCAGTAGCATTCTGATTAAACGTCCGTCTTGCCTTTCCTCTAAGCCTCGAGCATCTGCCAGAACCTCTCGTCACCCCAAACTGCATCAGTCTCACCACACTGTGGTGATCCATCTGCTCCTCCGAATTCTACACGCTCTCCCACAAGGCACTAACCACGTCTGCCCTATCATGTATCAGTATTTCACCAAGTTGTGCAGAGCCAGCCAGTCTGTCCGCCTGTTCATTTCCCAACACACCGGCGGACACGGTTCGTTCATTCCTTTAAACAAGACGCTAAAAGGCAGAATCCGCATTAGAGAAATTCAGAAAAGGAAAAAGAAGTTATGACGTCTTTATTACTACAGAGACCTAATGTGTTTGATTAGACTGAATATCGAATCATTAGTTGCATAATTGATGTGAATAAAATTTTGATGAGAAGAACGCAAGAAGTAAAATGAAATCAGAAACTAGGGATAAGTCGCATGGATTTGCGGAAGCTGAATGCACCATCAACGCCAATAGATTGTCTGTCTTCTTTACTCTAACTATAAATCTATATATATAAAAATCAATGTTTGTATGTTTGTTTGGTCTCTATAGACTCGGAAACTACTGAACCGATTTAGCTGAAATTTTCAGGATATGTTTGTTGTGATACCGGATTTTGAACCGTCGTGGTTTGAAATTCAACCTGTCACTGTTAGAGATAGGTGACCACAATTTATGCCAAAATATACGCAACTAATATTTATAACTTTAGTGATTTCTAATTATAGCCACGTTAGTAATTGCGCATGCGCCGTATTTACCATTCGCCGGCGAGGTACGTGCAGCCAACGCCTTCTCTAATACTAATACATAGAGTAGGTCGTGGTACAGCAAACAAGACTATCTCTATATTTGCCACAATAACCATATTAAACACGATTTCTATTTTCTGTTTTTTTTCCAGACAACTTTCGATGGGGGGGGGGGGGGGGGGGGGGCAATCGAGGACTATCTCGACGTCGGCGCAGACAGTGACTGCGACATTAATTTCATTAACCGTGTTAGACACGTGCGATTTCTATTTCATTAATATATCTGGAGTATCTGTCTACGAGAAAACAATTGCCTGCGGTTTTGAATTGTGTTTTAATCGCGACACAGTGGTAGGGACACACATGTCTAAAAGTTGAGTTCTCTTTTCGTTGTTCCGATTAAGCGGCTGCTTGGTCGAATGGTTAGAACACTGGGTTCAAGTGCGGTAGACATGGGTTCGAATCCGTCCGCAGTAGTTAAATTTATTTTTTACCCCGGACTAAAATAATATCCTCATCTGCTCTGTCGTGGTGACAGCACTAGCCATGTTGCCTTAATAAAAAAAATAAAAAAAAAAAAAAAAAAACAAGTAAATGGGTAAACCATTTGATAATTAAATTTGATCATTTCGCATACTTATGATTGCATTGTTAAACTTTCCGATTGCATGGTTACGCTGAAATTTTATAGATTTTCATTTATTTTCATTTAGATTTAGTTATTTCATCTGTGTTGGAATTTTAAGCTGTGCTGTTTACAATGGTGTTCATTTCCTAATTATGGTGTTTTTTTTCCTGTGTTCATTTGCTTTTCAAGTGTTTTTTTTCCCTCCTAACTACTTCAATGTGGGAAAGAGTTGTCGGTGAATTTGGGGGGAGGGGGGGGGGGCAAACTATTAACTGAGAGAGCTTTAAGTCACAGTAACTGCTTTACCCACTTAAAGTAGCAACAGCAGTAATAGTTGTGGTTTGGCTGTTACACCATAGTGCTCTCATGTGAAGACCGCCGGTAAGGTTATGGCGTTCTTCTGTCGGCAAGTGAAATTATACATAATAACCTGACCAGTCTGTGGCGACAGCACTAGCCATGCGGAACCAAATCTTCTGGCTCACGACTCTCTGTCTACTCCGATGGTAACACAGATAGCAGTGACATTATTTTAGTAGTTGTACTGGTAATTGAAGGATGATGTGGTAAATATTTCACTAGCCCTATTCACTACCTTTTACAATTCCTGCTCCTTATTTTAGTCCAGATGGACAGGGATGTCAATGTCAGTTACAGCAACAACAAAATATCGCCAGTTAGTGATTTTCAAATCCTTCGAAGAGGGAGAGAGCAGTAGTCGGTGGAAGAGGGGAGGGGAAGGGGGTAATAACTTAAATTTAAGAGAACTTAAAGAGCTTTACACGTGATTTAGTTGTGGGGGGGGGGGTGGGGGATCAAAGACTATCTCAAATTACGCCACAGCAACGCGTGGCCGGGTACAGCTAGTATATATATATCGTCGTCTGTGGCTTAGGCGTTGCGCTTCGTAGCGTCGGGATCCCTCCTGCAGACGGCTTGTCTTGCGATGGTTTCGACCGTGGTACCGAGCGCCGACCGTTCAGTGGCAATGGCAAACTACTGGACGTAAATTTGCCTAGAAAAACTACAACAGCTAGAAAGTGCTGGGGTTGGTTCTGCAACGTCCTGTAAGGGATACGCAACTAACTAATATATATATATATATATATATATCAATGAGGAAGGGGGGGGGGGGGGTAGTGTTGTGCACAACAGTACACAGTATGGGCACTTTTCTTTTAGGCATCATAATAACAGTGCTACAATTTTTACTTTAAAGTGAGCAGCAGACATTTTGTGATGAGTACCGGCACCTATCTTTCAAAAATTAAAGCTCTCCCTCCCTCTTTTTCTTTCTTTCTCTCTCTCTCTCTCTCTCTCTCTCTCTCTCTCTCTCTCTCTCTCTCTCTCTCTGTGTGTGTGTGTTTATTAGTGTGTTTATTTTGTGTGTCCTTTATAGAACGTTGAAGAACGAGCCCCGACATTTTTTGGGTGGGGGGGGGGGGGGGCTGTTGTGGTTTTTAAGGCACGTTTACGTTCTTTTTTTTTTGGCCTACTTAACGGTCTGCTCACAATACCACTGTCAAAACTAACACAAGGCGGTCTATTGCCAGATCGCCTGCAACTGGGTTACAAGTAGGCACCCCTACATTACGAAGCGTTGGCAATGTCTAAGCCACAAACGCCGATTAAGATAGCAGTAAAAACAGATATTTACTTCAGCCGACATTGAGAGCGGAGACGGCACATTTAACAAAGAAATTTTTCTCCGTGTTATTGTGACCTAACGCAGCTTTCACATTCAATCCACTATGCGTACTGCGTGGAAATTACGCATGATTAAAACATGACAGGTAAAAACGGAGGCCTAAACATCATGAATGAGAAATGCAGTGAAGGCATCGACTAGCGAAACAGAAACTGAACATCAGTCGGACTTGAGAATAAGGGCACGGTCCATAGTGAGTCTTGTCTGATGGACAGATCGCGTTAGGGCGAAGAAAAAAAATCGGGGAAAGAAATGCGGTCAAAAGAGTAAACGAAGAAGCCGCGTCAGGAAAGGGAGAGGGAAAAGGTGGAGGG